TGTCCTCTTGCCCCCCAGGAGTAGAGCAGGATTTAGAAGAGCCCAGGGCACTACAAATTAAAATCAAAGATGTTAGGAGAGTAGAACAAAACCTACACGCTTATCTGAAGTTTCTTTTTTTTTTTAAATATTTATTTATTTATTTATTTATTTATTTATTATGTATACAGTATTCTGTCGTGTGTATGTCTGCAGGCCAGAAGAGGGCACCAGACCTCATAGATGGTTGTGAGTCACCATGTGGTTGCTGGGAATTGAACTCAGGACCCTTGGAAGAGCAGGCAATGCTCTTAACCACTGAGCCATCTCTCCAGCCCATTTTTTTAAATATTTATTTATTTATTTATTTATTATGTATACAATGTTCTGTCTGTGTATATGCCTGCAGTCCAGAAGAGGGCACAGACCTCATTACAGATGGTTGTGAGCCACCATGTGGTTGCTGGGAATTGAACTCAGGACCTTTGGAAGAGCAGGCAATGCTCTTAACCTCTGAGCCAACTCTCCAGCCCTTATCTGAAGTTTCTAATAAATAGGAAATATTTTTCATTTTCCTTCCCCATGTTGCCGAGGTTGAGTTGATACAATGATGAAATCACATTTGTAGTTTATTTTTCTTCTGTTCCTGTTTGTGGTTGTTTTCATCAGCCATCACAGGTAAACAAATCGGTGATGGGACAGTGGCTGGCTTAGCAGTTAAGCTGGGGTGATCCCATCATTGCTAAGAGTTCAGATTCTGGCCCTTGAACTTTTAGAAGAGGCATGGATGGTGTCCTTGTGACCGAGAATTAAGCAAAGGAAAGCTTTTAGTCCCTTTTCCTTGGGACAGTTTGGAAAGGAAAGCTGAGAAAGAGAAGATTGGCTAGCATGTGGGGCTTTGCCGTCTAACTGAAGAAATTCTACCCTACTCAGTCCCCCAACCCGTCACCCCCTTTTCTAGTCTTGGTTTTGCATTTACCTTCCCTTTCATCTGTATTTGTATAAAAACATTTTTTGGGGTTCCAGAGTGAACCCAAATAGGTAAGAATGGTCAAAACCAAGACAACACTCAATCTATAGTTGTTTCTCTAAAGTGTTCCCAAATGGTTGGTTCACTGGATTTAAGTCATTGAAAGTAGACCTCTCTAACTCATTTGAAAATCATGACAAAAATAGAGATAACAGTGAGTATTTTATAAATATTCCCTGACGATGAGCAGTGTGGTCTAACTATGTTTTGTTATTTCTTGTACAAGTTATATATGTAAAATTCATGGGTATTATTTATTTAGATATTTGCTTTTAATGCATGTATATTAGTTCATGTGAATTTGTGGCATTTATATGCCAGAGACAATGCTGGATTATCATCTTCAGAAATGCCACCTACCTCCTTTGAGCCAGGGCCTCTCATTGGTCTGGAGCGCATCGTTAGGCTAGACTGGCTGGGTAGGAAGGCCCAGGACCTTCTTCACCTCCCTCCACTGGAACTACACACATTTACCACCATGCCTAACTTCTCCCATGGCTTCTGGGACTCTCACTCAGGGTCTCCTGCATATATGACAACACTTTGCCAGCTGAGCTGAATCCCTGCATGTGCTTACTTAAGGGAGGGTGGTCAGAATTTGCTTTGGTAAGTTTGTATTGCCTGGTACACATTCAGCCCGAGATGTAAAAAAAAAAACCAACTGAACTGTCTCCCTGCCCATGCAGGTTATAGTAACAAATTTTTATCTTGAATGGTCATTAATTAAGTATAGCATTATGCTTAGATATATACAAGGATTACAATAATTTTATAAGTTATAGGAAAAGTTCATAGGTATGGGTATGAATTACTGATTGGTTGTCTAATTTTGACAAAAGCAAAGTGGTTATCTGGATATGACAGCCGGTGCCTATGAATGCTGGATGTAAAATGATATGTTTGTGTAAGTGTGTACAAGTCTAATAAGTTTATATAAGCTCATTCTAAGGCATACTTAACTTTTGACA